TATTTTACTTCGGCTCGTTCTTAATATAAATCTATTAGCCAATCAGATTTTGTAAAATCACGAAATGATCTACAAAATTATCCAATCAGAATGAAAGCCCGCTATGCAATTTTTTACATTTTTTTTCGTAGATCAAAAATCATTTATTCTCTTTGATTAAATACAGTATATGTATTATTGCATCATCTGTTTTTTTTATCACTGCAAGTGTAAACCTAAAATTTTTTTGAAATTTTACTTTACAGAAATGGATAATTAGACTCCCGATAAAATTATAATTAAATTTATTTTCATATCATGTGTCTTATAAGCCGCATTTTCTATAAATAAAATTTCAGAAAAATTTCTGGTTTTCGCTTTGCGTACCTATTTAGTGGTTCTTTCTACTCACATAGTTAACTACACATGATCGTATGTCAATCATTTTTGGCGAAAAAAAAGTTACTATGAATCAACTATTTTTATGCTTCCCAAATGATAAAATTGAGCACTTGAGTGAGGTATCTATTCAAAACAGGTTATTTTCCGTGTAACAGAGTCATAACAAATTAGGGAAAGAGCATCCAAAAACTGCCAAGCACATCTATAAAAATCTAAGATCTCCCGTACTAAACCGAATCGAGAGCATTGATGGTAATACCTAATTTTAGAGTTTTAATTGGCTAATAAGTAATCCAACTAGTTCTACATTCAATTGACTGTTCTGGAAGAAAAAATTACTGTATTTTTTTTTTTTTACCATTTTTTCTTTCTCTTTCCGCACCCAAGCTTTTTAATCTTAAGTTATATTTAAATCCGGATTTAATGACTAAATCCAGGTTTAATGATTAAAACTGGATTTAATGATCAAATCCGGATAAATCCGGATTCATGTATTAACTCTAATAGCACCTTCTATACCGAACTAAAGTAATATAAATACGGATATTTTTTTCTAAATTAATCTCTAAACAAAAACGATTTTTGAAATTATTATTGAAAGAACTTGAAAATGACAAAAAATTCATATTCAGTGTGGTCACTGAGCGATGATTTTCAAATTAATAATACTAATCCTAATCCTTCTTCTGTATGGTCTTATGGAAATAAGAAGGAAATTTTGGGCCCGTTCACTCTATATACGCAATTGCTTGCAGATCCCAAAAACAGCGGAGTATATGCTTGGTATGAAACAGGTGTTAACTGGGATACTCCTGGAAATTGGCTAGGCGTATATTATAACTCTAAAACAACCAGTGTGAATTTAACATATCCAAGTCAAATCATTACGTTCCCCCCTCACGGCGTCGCCATGCAATCCGGTAATGACAGTAGATTTTCGGTGGCGAGATATACTACACCGATAGATGGAATTTATAACATAACTGCAACGTTCACCCGTATTGATATCGATTCTAATACAACCAATGCATCCACAGGAGTTTATATTATATATAAAAACTATCAGCTTTTTGTTAATAACATATATGGTATGAGAGGTGCAACATTATTCAATACGAGTATCAATCTCAAAGCAAATGAAGTCATAGACTTTATTGTTGGTGTTGGTCCAGATAAGATAGATAAATATGATATGACTAATGTAAATGCTATCATCTATTTATCGCGAGATAGTATAGCTGAAATTCAAAAAACTGAGAGTCAAAAATATTTGGTGACCATAGTAGTTTTGGCTATTTTTTCTATAGTTATATGTTTATTCCTATTATATTATTTTTTATACTACAAAAGGTACAAAAAAGATGCAGGCCAAAACTTTACAGTTTAACAACTCAAGACTATCATACTACTACAGTACTAATTTAATATCATTTTAATAGTAACAGTTATAAAACATGTCCAACTAAATACTGTTACTTATAAATAAAATAAGTTGACACATCCAATTTTATATCTATGTAATTTTTACAAAAAAATCATTTAAATTAAATTCATTTAACAAAATTTTTAAAAATACCATAGGGTATGATACCCGATATAAGAAAAAATACAACCCTATAGTTATTAGGGTTAGTGTTAGGGTTAAAATTAAAGGTGTATTTATATGTAAATTAGGTGCTGAACATTTTTACTTATTAGGGTTAGTGTTAGGGTTAAAATTAAAATTAAAGGTGTATTTATATGTAAATTAGGTGCTGAACATTTTTACTTAAGAGCATTACATTGATTTTCTTAATAAAATTATGAGATATTAACGATTTTTGTTTTTTTTTTTAAATATAAATTCTCTTTATTTAAATACTGTATATACTGTATATATCTTTTTAATATATATTCTTTAAAGTTTTAGTTCTTAGTTTTAAATAGAAGAATGGGAATCTTTTTTTAAAGTTGGTTAATTCTTTACTATATTTTTTTAAATCAAATAACTAACATCTTAAATAATTATATACAGTCCTCCCCCTCTATAGTCACACCTTCGGGATACATAAAGTTGTGATTATAAAGAGGCGTGATTAATATAAAGGCAACCTCTATATAGTCACAATTATATTACAAAATATGAAAAGTGACTATATAGGGGTTTTATTTTATCAAAGAACTAGTGGTGGCAAGAACCTCATGTTTGGCGATTAAGCTCTGCAACTACGACAGCAATACAAAGACCTTATATTGTAATTAGGCTCCGTGGCTGCGATAGCAATGCAAAGAACTCATGTTGTGATTAGGCTCTATGGCTGTTGCAGGTGGTTAGGCTCCGTAGCTGTTCAAAATTCAAATGTGAAAATTTGTGCTGAGAAATTGTGTCAGAATATCTTGAACCCCATCTAAGATACGTCGACCTGATTTTCTCAAAACTCCAGAATACCCAAGTGGGTTTGAAATTGAAGTACAAGAAGCGCAACAAGAAAAATATATCGAATTCTTTCATAATGGCGATTTCAATAATTTTATCAAACAGCAAGAGCGGGATCAACTCAAGAAAGAATTGTGCGAAGAAAACTGGATTGTTCTAAGGTATGTTTGGTATTACGAAGACCCATATATGAGTGCCATCCTACAATCGGGCTTTCTATGGTAAATCTATGTCCGATGCAGGGACGATGATTTTCTGCGGTGAATAAAACCAAATTCTGCGTGTGATTAATTAAATTTCTGTGATGTGATGTGGTTTGGGCTATTCTGTGCTATTTTTTCTTAGAAAATTCTGTGAATTATGTGAATTCTGTGGTTTGCTGTGTTTAAGAAAAATTCTGTGGTGTTCTGTGAAACACAGCAAATCATCGTCCCTGGTCCGATTATAGATTTACCATAGAAAGCCCAATTGTAGGTTTTCCTTTGACAGCACTCATATAATTATCCCAGAGCATCTTCAAGAATTGGGTAAACTCAAAACTTTAAATGTTCATAAGCATTCATAGGCAGACTTTTGTGTGATTGGCTATTTAAATCGATTTAATTTAAAGTACTTTTTTAAAAAAAGAAAACTACTACGAATAAACAAAAAAGAAGCATATAGAAAGTTTTATTAGTGTTGTAGGACTCTACTATTAAAAATAATCAAAATTCTTTTTTGTTTTAGAGAAGTTAGCATAATAGCGACAGATAAAATTAGGTTATCAACATGCTAACTTCTCTAAAACAAAAAAGAATTTTGATCATTTTTAATAGTGGAGTCCTACAACCCTAAGAAAACTTTCTATATACTTTTTTTCTTCGTAGTTTTCTTTTTTTTAAAAAGTACTTTAAACTGTATAAATAATGTAAAATTAAATTGATTTAAATAGCCAATCATACGAATGTCTGCCTATGACATAAGCATATTATTATTTTTTCCGATACACAAGTGAACATAAAAAGCAAACAAAATGAGTTCCGTAACTTTATCATTATTAACTTGGCAGTTTCAAATACATCTTTACTATTTTTTGATAAATTATTTCAAACTATTATGAAAGCCTAACGCATTTCGCAAAACATAATTAACAATTTGCGTATATTATACAAGGGCGCGTTTTTTTTTTCACATATTCTCAAATATATTATTAATGTTTTGATCACTTGTTAATTTTTGTTTTTGCATTAATAGATTCTTCTAGAATAAACACAAAATTATTAAATAAAGTTATTGGCAACTAATGCAACATTACAATAACATTTTTTATGCATACGTTGAAGTAATTCTTTGAACTCATATACAGCTCCATCATACTCCCAATACCATGGCACTTGATTTTTCTCATCATTTGACATTGTTTCTTCCAAAGAATTTCCGAGTGGCCACAACATCTGACATTCTTCCTCCCATTGAAACACACGACCATAGCAATCCAAAAAAATCATTCCATTTTCAATCTCCCCAATGATAATGATATGATCAAAGCCGAATTGTGCAACATTTGTCATATAATAGGTAAGTTCTTTTGGATCATCACTACTAACAGGAAGCTCGCAACCAATAGAAGATGCAAGATGACGACGGCTAGATTCATCTTTAAACGTGTCAACTACCATAAGTGTATTATTGCGAAGTGATTCATCTTGTTCAATACGTTTTGACATTTGAGACATGGATCTGAAACCTTCAATTGTTTTCCTAGTCTCTTCGGTAATGCAAGGGTACGCGAGTACAAGACGACACGGTTTCGTCTGGATTTTCTTCGTCCACGTAGTGCCTCCCAGAGTACCGATTCGACACAGTTTCCCAAAGGATGCCTGCAATGAATGGATTGCTCTTTGGTCAGGCAATATTTGAAGCTTTCTGTAGTATTAGCATCGTTTTCACTCTTGACGCTGGTATTTTTGCTTCCCTGGAAGGTCGACTGACATAATACGTCCAAAGAAGGCATATTATGTCCCATACTGTTATTATTAGTATTTGTCGAGAATAAGTCGGGTTTACCATCTTGCCCTCCTGGTCCGAATGGAATCACAATTCTCTCCGATGATCTATGCAAAAAAAATGGGGTTGTTAAATCGGTTTCGGTTTGAGGATAAATTTTGAGCAAAAACTTAACTGAATGGTTCCACAAACTCTATTATCAGTTTTCTCTGTCATCGTTCTTATAAAGTATCTAACCAAGAGTAAAGACTTCAGAGATAATACACAAATGACAATATACAAAGCGTGAAATGATAATATCCAAGACAAAGTTGGCTAAAAAAAAAAAAAACTACCCTGAAAAATGGGTTTTTGCCTTGAAAATAACCTTATGGGACTACTGTATGTAGATTTTATGAATAAAAATTAAAATTCCTATCCTTCTAATAATCCAATTCAAATAATTTTTTATTTTGTAGAACTCACTAAGCTCTACAAAATAAAAAAAAAGTTTATTCTAATTGGATTACTGGATAGCTATAAATTTTAATTTTTATTCATAAATCTACATAGTCCCGTTAGGTCATTTTCAAGAGACCCCAAATCAGTTCTTGATATCCGAAATTATCCGAATAAGCAATCAACTTATTGCAGAACATTCGAAGTTTCTATTCAACAAACACAGAATTCATGAATAACAACGCAGAATTTACGCAGAGTTCATAAATTTTAATCACGGAATTTTGGCAGAATTTGATTTTGTCAAAAATGCGCGGCAGATCCTCGATTTTGATTGGCTAACGGCCGAGGATCTTCAAAATTTTGGCCCTCCGGCCGGAATTAACTTTTCAATTTTTTCATTACAAAAATAGAAATTTTTAAAAAATAAGCCCACATTATGGTAAAATTAGGCTAATTTTACCATAAGGCCATGCAAAATTAATTAAATGGTTTTCATAACCCGGCCGGGTCAAAATTTGAAAATTTCAAAAAAAAA